AAAAAAAAAAAAAAAAAAAAAAAAGAGCGCGGGGGGGGGGGGGGGGATTATTGCACCAATCGCAGCTGACATCTGAGCACTGATGCTTCATATTCCTTTTTTTAGTATTGTTTTAAATTTTGGATGTATTATGTGTTTTAGATATATTTATAGTTTTAATGTTTTCTGTAAGTCGCCCAGAGTCTCCTATTGTGGGGGAGATGGGCGGGGGAGAAATCCAATAAATACTAATACTACTACTACTACTACTACTACTACTACTACTACTACTAATAATATTTCATTGTTTCAGCAGTGTCCACAAGGATGATCACTGACTTCAAAATGGCAGACCCGGTTGGGCCATCAAAGCCCCGCCCCTTTGTGCATGTGGTGCATGTTAAAAAGGGGCAGGGCCTTCATGGCGCAGTCGTGCCTGCCATTTTGAAGCCAGCAACCAAGGGAAGACATCAGGAGAGAACTCCAACAGGATTTTTTTCAGACATGATATTCCCATGATTGCTAAGGGGGAGCCCACTCCTTGAGAAATCGTAGAAATTCTTCTTGTCCCCGAGAAATTTGAAGACATTTTTCATCCAATTTCACTGCCTACATATTTGGTTGGGGAACTTCCAAAGGCCACTTGGACTCACTTCTACCAGTAGTTTTTCTGAAGCATTTTAGAAACGACTGCTTTGAGAAAAAGATGGGGGTGCAAGCCTCAATCTCCCTTATCCCAATCGCTCTGCAAGAAAACTGCAACTGTGCTTGCTGAATGTAGTTCCTATTTGCTTGTAGACTTTCCCAAATGACATGGATAAATTTGGTATGGAAGGGGCCAGTTTAGAGCATTATCTTCATGTCTCTTCCATACCGTTTTTCCAGACAGGCTAGAATGAGCTTGTATCTCCCACCATAAGGGGCACATGAGGATATTTTTGCAACTAAGAATGTTGAAACTCATTTGCTATCCATGCCAGATGACTTTAGTCAAAGGGAACCACTTCCATCAATCTGTCATCAGAATTCTTCCTCTTGTTCATTATGGAGACGGATGCAAAGAAATAGTATTTATATGTATGGAAAGACTTGAAGAGGTATGTGTGGGTACTGTTAGGGCCATTTTATATTCTCAGAGAGAGAGAGAGAGAGAGATTCTCTGTTACATTTTATACTACTGTGACTTTAAGGAGAAAAAAGGCCCATTTTCTCTGGTTTTACTCATGGCCATTGGGGGTTTTAGAAAAGGACACACCCACCTCCATGTATTCTATTCTTCTTGTTCCCCTATTCTTGAATTTCCCTCCCAGCTTTTTTGTCATTCCAATGCATTCTCAACTTTACAGGATCTTTCCCCGTGACTGAAAAGATTATAAGTCTCTCGGAAGGAGTTCAACTAAGACTGATCTTTACCTGATCCCAAGCACATATTGTTTTAAACTCTTCCTGCTTACATTCCACCAGACATGCCTAGACACTAATCCAGTCTCAGGTGCATCCATTAAAGCTCATCAGATGTTCCCCTGCCATTGTTTCTCTAACGGTCTCTATCTGTATTCTCCTTACTGAATTTAAGCTTACCGATATACAAGGAATGTATGCAAACCTGTACCAAAATGCAGTAGAGGTTGATGATGTAGCAAGGTAGAGAGAGATGCCTCTGCTATACTTTTCCCAATTCCAGAATTCAAAATAAAGTATTATTGCCTTTGGCCCTTTCTGCACATGCTGCAAATTTCCTTAATTGTTCTTTTCTTGTCTTAATAGCAATACTTATCTCCAAGCATGAAACAGCATAAACATCTACTTACTTTTCTGGAGCGTGAGCGGTGCAAGGTAATGGTTTATCTCCTGGATCAACCCAAGACTGTGTGGGTTGGACTGTACATGGTATTAAGGAGATGGTGTATTCTCCTGAATAATCTTTCCTGAAAACAGAGATAAAGCACGGCCATTAGTGCACTGAACTGCAAACTATTCTTTGTGACCCCAAGCCAATAATATTTTTATAGATTTAAACATATATCATCGATCTACCTACCTACCTGAATCACAGAGTCATAGCCAATGCAGGAGAGAAGAACTATAGCATGCCTGACAGATGGCCATCTAGCTTTTTTAAAAACACTGAAGTATTAAAATTATCTATAATCTAAAAATGGCCAAAATCTCACAAGTTCTTGTGAGCTTTTGAGCTCTGGTATTATTGTTAGGCAAAGACTTAGCTCTCTTAAGAAGTCTGTAGTGCTGGGAAACATGGGAGGAAAAAGATAATCAGCAGCAAGGTGGAAGGATTACAGCAATGATGGGTGCACTGTTGGAAGACTTGAAGGACCAGGTTGAGGACAGATTGTCGTGGAGAAAATCTGTTGGAAGACCTGAAGAACCAGGCTGAGGACAGATCGTGATGGAGAAAATCTATCTGTGTAGTCACTAAGAGTTGACACTGACTTGACAGCACATTATCAATCAATTATTGTTATTTTTTAACGTCCTATAAAATATTATTATTATAGTAATCATTATATTAATTTCTGGCATCCACAACCTCACACAAAATTGTGGTACCCGCCATCTGAGAAAGATGTTTATCCCTCTTCTAAACATCCTATGACCATTCTGATCTAGAAGAATTTCCAGATGAAGTCTAGGTCAATAGGCAATGCAACCTGGGGTACCTGTGGATATCAGAAGTGCCACACACAGACAAAAAAGATGAATGACTTCTTTTTTAGCACTTCTGGATAATGAGTAAGGGGGCAACTCTTCTGTAAGTAGATCTGTCTTTAAATGGGCATCTAGAAGTGTTTGAACTTCTTGCCTCCAGTTGCCACTGTTTAAGACCTGGAAACACTAAAAGGCGATGTACAAATTCACACACGTAGTTTTATAGTTCTTCCAGGTAACCCAGATTCCAATCCCTTCTGCTCACTGTTATAAATTTCTTTCTTACTTTTCACAGTTCACCAAAGTTCAGGAATTTAAGTGCTGAATGTAACTCTGTACTCCAGATAACCTAGCACTGTATCGATAAGAGCACTCATTTCTTCTCCCTGCAGAGTTCTTAAGGAGCATATTAGCACAGAATTTTCTTAACTACGTCTCAGTCTCCTTATCTGAGAGTTCCACCTGGCTCAAAATGTCTAAACTTAGCAGCATCATGGATGTCACCAACTGCCCTAATTTCATAACTGTCCACTCTGACTCAGCAATAAGAGGGAGTTTAAGTCTTGTGTCTTCTCAGAAGAGCCTGGTCCAGTGGCAACAGTTTTATTTATTTTATATCCCCACCTCCCTCTTAAAAAAGTCTAGAGCAGCATCACGTCAGATCCGGTAAAGATGATCCCATAAGGGTGAAGGAAATGAGAGCTGATCAGATTTTCTCAAGGGGAGACAGAAGGAATAGTTCCAAGATCTTCCCTAATCAATGATTTCCTTAACCTGATAATTCTGCATGGCTTGCAAGAGAGGAATCTCAGTGAGAGAATTAGGCTTTAAGTATCCTTGACTGACCACCCCTCCTCTTACATTAGAAAGTGTTAGGATGAGAAATCTCTACCACTTCAGATGATGCTGAGTCACAGCCAACCACATCTCTCATCATTGGCTGACTGAAGTTGCTGGCAGTGACAATTCAGAAATGATTTGATGGTCATTTTTGTCTTGGGAGAGTCCTCAGAGCACAATCTTTTTGGGAGATAGTGAGCTTTTCACCAAAGAAATGTAAGCAGAGGTTGGTTGACCACCATTATAATCATCATAGAAACATAGGGGTGGAAAGGCCTTGGGGATCTTCTAGTCAAATTCCCTTCTGGTGGCAGGAATCCTTACACCATCCCAGCAAATGGCTGTTGAACCTTTGTTGGAAAACTGTCAGTGATGGAACCCCCACAATTCCAAGAGATAGGCTGTTCCACTGTATAATAGCTCTCACAGTCATGAAATTCCTCACTTCAAGTGTGGATCTACCTCTGTAAAGCTTCTACCCACTGGTTCTTGTCCTACCCTTGGAAGCTATGGAGAATAAATCCACACCTTTTTCCCTGTGACAGTTCTTCAAATATTTAAACTTGGTGATCTCTATGATCCTTCCCAACTCTATGGCTATGTTGAAAGTGGTTTCTATTTTAGCTTTTGCTTTTCTTCTGTGGGCTTCACAGCTGCCTAACTGGCAAAATCCATCCTTGGCCTTGATAGCAATTTTGATAGCAACTTCAATAATAATGCACTCAACTTTCCTTCATACCTGCTGTAGGAGCTGGTTGCTCTCCAGAGTTGATAAGGAGAGTCAAAAGTTTGTCCACTCCACAAGAGCTGTAGGTCAAATTCAATCCCTCCCAGGTGGTCAGGAGTCATGATAAAAGACTTGGCATTTGGCAGAGTGTGGTGTTCCATCACAAAGTGCCCTGTGCAGATGGGAATAAGCAGGTTCACTGTATTAAGGTCCATATTTCTCTTTGTATGTAGAGGGAAGAGGGAATGGCCTTGAAGAACAGGAGGAAGAGCTGCTACCAAGGCAACAGTCGGATAAAAGTGGCTTGAGCCCAGGCCAAGAATGTAATGTGAGTAAATGTCTCAGACAAGCCCCTCCATAGTTCACACAAAGATAAAGGGAGGGAGAAAGGAACTGCATTCAGACTTGCAATATTCTGTTACTAAAGCTTTACAATGAAAGTAGTCCTGACCTACATGGCATTGGTTTCCTAGTCTGGTCTGCCTTCAAGGGCTGACAGTGTATGTGTGAAGCAGAAAAGGAGTTAGCACTTTGAAGCAGCTTTCCCCAGTCTGGTGCCTTCCAGATGTTAGATTTTAGTTCTGATTCGCCAAATGAGCATAAGTACTCACTTCTGCCACGTATGGCACTGGTAATTCCCAGCTTCTGTACACACTACCCCTAAACTTTAATGAGGAATGCTGTGACATTCCACTCAATCAGAATCTAATTGCAAGGACAGAAGAATTTTCAGAATGCACCCTAGACTAGCTACTTTCTAGTGGATTCTGCACCTACTCCAAATCCATGAGAAGTGGGACCTAGCATAGCCCAAGATATTCAGCCATGCTACACCAACTTCCCATGCCTAAAAGCTTCTGGAGGAGGTGCAACAGTCTCAGGGCACAGCCCTGAAATTACAAGGAAAACAAACCAACAGAAAAAGATGGAAATAAAAAAAAAGTTGAGAGCCTTTGATCTCTGAATTTCAGCCCAGCAGCAGCAGGAAGACTTCATTATTTCTGTATTCAGAATCATAACTCTACAGTCCAACGTTCTTATTTCCAGGACTTAATCCAAGCTGATGCTAATCAGAATTTAGCTTTTGGAACATCAGTGAGGGTCAGGATACAATTTCAGGATAGATGCTTCCCTTCCACTATTGAAAAATACCAACCAGCATCCATACACATCTGGGATTCCAAGGCAGAAAATTTGACCTCCTTTGTTAATAATAACAAAGGACTATTACCTCTGAACTTGGCATGAGTTTTAAACTCAATGACCAGCCGACCATCATCTCGGATGTAGATCCTGATTATTTGCAGTTTGGCTGAAAGGACGCTATCTGTCTGTATACCTGAAGGAGAGAACGGCAACAGTTGGGCTTCCTCAACAGGGATCATGGATTAGTCATCAAATTGCCCTGCTCCCTCGGTTGGAGGCCAGTTCCAGCAAAAGGCAGCCAACAAGGTGCTCAAGAAGTCACTTGGCCAAACTGAGGGCATCTTAGCATCTCAGGAGAGCTACAGCTCATCCTTTCACCCCATGCCATGAAGAAAATATAACTAGCTGCCTACCTGTTCTCCAGAGAACGGTGTCATAGAAGAAGGAAAACTCCATTTCCGTGTGATGTTCAAGGGAGGCCCATCCTCTGGGTGCAGTTACGTAAACGTAGGAGACATAGAGCGGGACATGGACTGTTAAGAACGACTGAGCTGAATCTCGAACCTATCATCACAGAAAGAAAATAAGTACTGTACAGTTTTTACATATTGTCCTGCCTTTTTGTACAGCAGAGGGACTAATTTGCCCTGCAAGGCTCTTCCATCCAGCCATAAGGCCTCCTTCTTTGAAATTTAGCATTTATTATCTCCAGCCTCAAACTCCATAGCATCCTTTTAAATCTTTTAAATCTTTTTTCCTTTTTAGTCCAGAAAGAATGGTGACTCACCAAATGGAATTCTCTTATCCTGCCCCTACAAGGGAGGGAGGGAGGGAGGGAGGGAGGGAGGAAGGAAGGAAGGAAGGAAGGAAGGAAGGAAG